ACACGCTGGGTGAATGTGACCACCACTAGCGTCATAACTCACTCAAACAACATTTAATTAAGTTGATTTCGGGTAGCCTGCTTTGATTAAAACTGAGAAATTACTGAGTTTATTAAGAGAGCTGTGGTTATGGAGCGATTAAAACGGTCTACTTGTTTTTCGAGGGGGGGGGTAGGTACAGTATGGATGATTAGATTAGTTTAATTAAGTCATTACTACAGATTAAAGTACTCGTGTTTGAGGGTAAAGTCGCCGCAAAAATCAGGATGAAAACAAGTTACAAAGATGACTAGTAAAGTTAAAGAGCAAAGGAAATGATTTATTTAGGTTTAATTCCCTTGGGCACGAAGTACACTACAGGAGGGGTTAAAATACTTACTAAATCATCTAAGACAAATTACATAACATATATATAAAGAGTTAAGGATAATTTTTACGTGACATGAATAAGATTAACAATGCTAAATAGACGAGATCAATTTGGACAACATATAGGATAATTAAATTTGCAATAGAAAGTGAAAGTCAAATTCGTAAAGAAACAACCACACCTGTAATCTGTTCTCAGCCTTTCCTTAAGTCTTACACTCTAGTCTCCAAATCCACAATCCCCTGCCTGTATCACCTCCCTCTCCAGCAAGCACGGTAGAACATCGGATAAAGAGATAACATTAGTATAAATAGACCATCATCCTCAACTATCACGAACTACCGCAGATGGTGAAGACGTGATGGTTGGCAGGACCGTATCAACACCAGGTAGGTAGATGATAGAAAAAAAAAAAAGTTGGGTTGGGGTCAAGGGCGAAGTAAGATAGAGAACAAGGAAGCTTGGGCGGCGAAATCATGTGGAATGAAGGTATGGTAGGATGTGTTAAGAGTTGACGAAATGTGGAAAGCGGGAAGAATGTGTCGGAGACTAGGAAAGGTGAGGGCATGTTAGAATGAACTTGGAGAAGGAACGGGGAGAGGGAGGGGGAATGGAATGGAATGAGTTAGGTAGGTGACAAGGCAGGCATAACAGCCAAGTTACGGGATGAACAGTAGAGAAAAGCGAACAGTATATCAGACAATCTTACACGGCTGAGGAACATAATGGAGATTTAGGAGGTACTGAAGCGCTGCGGAGACGTATATAAATTTATAAAGGTCATAGATGTCTAAAGCAAGATATACAGAGAGTCTTCGACGTTCTCTAAGTGTTATGGATAGTTATAGATGGAGATGAAGATTTAGAGTGTGGTGGGGTAGAGACACAAGACCTGGAGGAATTGTAAAACTTGTTGACCTAACCTAACCTAACCTAACCTAACCTAACCTAACCTAACCTAACCTAACCTAACCTAACCTAACCTAACCTAACCTAACCTAACCTAAAACCAACGTCAAAAGCCTTAAGTGTCAAATAATCAAGGTGTAGGTCCTGTTAACATGTAAGGGAAATGGTAGTAGGCCTGTGTGGTTCTCGCTGTAGATGAAATAATGAAAGTTTCAACTCGGGTCACAGGTCTCAAAATTAGAAAACGAATATAAATAATAATACTTGACCAAAAAAGTTTATAACAGGGTGTCTCAAGTTGCGCACCATTGAAAAATTACAGATATTTTGTTCTTTTTTTCTTTTTTTTAGGGGGTAGATAAATAAGGAACAAATTAGTTTATTATTCATGTTCAGGAAGCTAGATGCTATACACCGAACAAATACAAAGGTAATTAATAGAAACCCCCAGGAATATGGATGGTTGAGGTTAACTTATTTTGTGGGTGTAGCTTCCGGATTTATGTACATGAATATGAAATTAACTCATTCCTCTCATGCTAAATTTTCTGCCATCATCAATTTGTTATAATTCTTCACCTTAAAAAAAAAACATTAATTACCTAAAGGCTGAAAATATACAGTCAAATAATTGGGAATGGGTCACTTGGTTAATAAATAACAGACAAGTAACATAGGTGATGCAAATGAGAACAAGGAGGGAGAGCGTCATACAAGAGGAAATTTCAACAGTGCAAAAAATAAGATTGGCTGTTAGTGAAAACATTGGTTAACTACGACATGTTAATACTTTTCTTTACAATGGTTGGGACTGGGGAGTTGTTATAGCGATCAGTACGTGCTCGTGTGGGCTGGATACGGTTGTGGTGTTGAACAGCAATTCGCGGACGTGATATCGTGGGTGGAAGTAGGAGCAGGTGTTGAGGATGGTGCAAAAGCTTCTTCGTAAATTTACAGATGAGGTCGTGGTGTGTGTGTGTGTGTGTGTGTGTGTGTGTGTGTGTGTGTGTGTGTGTGTGATGAGACAGCCAACAATGAGCCTTGAAGTCTCTCTAAAGTTTCTCGTGCGGCTTAATTATGATGGTGGAGAAGGGAGAGGAAGGGAGGGTGTAGGAGAAGGAGAGGAAAGGGAAGGTGAAAGAAAGTGGAGTAAGGTGGTGGTGAAGTTGATATGGCAAGGAAAAGTTGGTGAAGGATAATGGTTAGAAGGCGGCTGACAGAGCGGGAAACAGGGGAGAGAAAAAGGAGGGTGGCTACTGGGAAACTGGAGTGACAGGAAGACACAAGGAAGGAAGTTAAGGAGAGGAAGGATTGGGATCCTTGGGTATCGTCACTTGGGCTAAACTTTTGTCATTAAGGGATCTGCAAAACCTGGAGGTGTAATCATCTAAATGCCACAGCTAAAAAGTTAAACCCATCAAAATGTAAAGTGATGTGGCGAGTTTTCAATCACACGACGGTGAGTCCATACAAATTGGTTCAGCTGGAAGATGCAGAACCAGAAAAAGGTTTTTGAATTAATACAGTTAAGGTTTTAATATCAAGTAACTATGTTGAGAATACACAGGTGTCAAGAGTCGAAAAAAGTGCCACGAATATTTGGGTGGACTAAGTTGTCCGATTGTTTCTCATGATCCTGTTATATATATATATATATATATATATATATATATATATATATATATATATATATATATATATATATATATATATATATATATATATATATATATATATAAAATTTTTTTTTCAGGGTAGCCAGACACGAAATGTTCAGCAGCTAGTGAGTTGCACCAAGCACTTGGCAGAAAGCTACTTCTGTCCACCTAAGAGGTGCATCACCACAGGCATACACTCTCCACTTATTTATATACTCTTTTTTAATTACCGTTGTTATTATTGAATCCATATTCTGTGGCTCTTACCGATGGCTTGATCCTTCCTTATGGGTCACTCTTTGGGTTTGATTGTTATTCAGTCGATTAAAACCAACATCAATGATATCAGACTTCAATGACCTTGTGTATATATTTGTATTACTCAGGATGTGAAGTCGTTCAACATCACCTGTAAATCCTTCCCTGGTGGTAATAATTCATCGTCTCATAAGTAAAGTGTTTGCTCCTATGAAGGAGTTATATTTTGTCTTTTATAGTTGGCCTCCATTTGTCCTCACAGTCCTTCCCATTTCTTGTTATTACTGTCTCCTTCAACTCTCCTTGTCCTCACTGCCTTCCACCCTCCTTGTTCGCACTACCATCATTCCTTCCCTTTTCCCACCACCCCCTCCTCGCCCCACCCTCCTTGTTCCTACTTCCCCTTCCTTCTCCTTATTGCCTCCCCTCCTCGCCACCATTACCCCTTCCACGTTCCTAGCTGCATGTTGTTAGCAACCTGTACTAGTTGTTCCGGTCAACAAGGATCAATACTAACACCTTCAGTAAAGCACAGAATTGAAAAAAAAATATAATTTCTCCACTCTGAGGAATCTTGTTCTATAAATAAATGTGTTTTTGTCGTGAGTTTGGTGATTTTTTTTTTGTATGTGTCGTTTTTACAATCATCGTAAATCTGAGCTAAATCGTTCTCTCGTGTTTCAAACTCAAGAGTGAATTAATCAGCAGCAAAAAACTGGAATCCCACTTCGTTAAAAAGGAAGATGGAATGGTTGCTGGTCATCGAGAGTGTACCTTAGTGGAGTCACGGGGTGCGGTGTGCAGTACTGAATGTGATGGACATATCAGAGATGGCGTGTCCCCCCCCCCCCCTGTAGTTGTTGATATACCTGCACTATGTTGTTCTCCTGGCCTGGGCTGAGCTTTGCCCTGAAAGAATCTATCTACAGCAGAACCTACCTAATAATTGTTTTAAGTAATTAATTAACGTCATTCTTGTTTGTAAATATATGTTATAATTTATTCGAGACGCAGGTGTTAAGTTCTGACCGGCGTCTAAGTCATTTGATTATTGTTGTCGTATATAAATAAGTTTTAACTATAATAAGGAAATTGTAACTGTTCGTTTTAAATATCCTCAACCATACTTAATTAATAACTTATTTATTAACTAATATTAACTGTAATACACTAAACTTTGTCTACGGTTGAAACTTCTGGTTAATAAAATACCTAATTTATCAAGTAATTATTGAAAGTACTACAGCAAGTCTTCATACAGTTAACTTGAGGCTTTAATACATAACAGTTTATTAAGATTTTATTTCTGTAATAGTTTACTCGTCTTGACCCCCACGACTACCCCTCCCTTCCCTCCTAACATCAACACTCTCATTACCACCCTCAGGCCCCTCCCACTACAACTCCCCCACTTCAAGTTTCTTCCCCTCCCATAGTTCCCCCTTCCAATCCCTTCTCCTTCCCCCTTGACATTCCTCAACTCCCCTTTACTCAGTCCCGTGATGTCCCTTAACTCCTCTCTCTAAACCCGTTGATATCCCATTGATCCCTTCTCTTAGATTCATCCTTTCCCATATTATCTCTCTCTTTCGGGTTCTTCCCTTCCATTTTATCACCTTTCTACACCCCCCCCCCATCCTGTTCCAACCCCCCTTCCCCCATCTCACTGTAGCTCCGCCCCTTCTCTCATAATTCTACTCAGACCCCTCCCTCCCTCCCTACCACTAGCACAGACACTGCATTTTTTGTCGACACTACACAGTATGCAGGTTGCCATAACACAGGCACTCACATACCGAGTGAGAAGCATTGCAGCTGGACCTGTTTTCCTCGCTAGCTCTACCTCGTGCTGTCTACAAGTGACTCAAACCTTCACTAGTCCTGATTACAGGTTGGATACAGTACAACTCAGTCCTAAACAAGACACAGTTGCTTTAATTCACAGAGTAACATCCCCGGTACACTGTGTGATAAAGTTTATATAATTAATTAGATAAATTAGCGTAAGAGTTAATAGTCATAGATCCTTACCTTGTTAAATGACAGGAAATGTTGCAAGAGAAGGCAAAACAGATTAAAAGTAAAAGAAGAACTATTGTAAATGGTGTAACTAAATTATATAACATAGACGTAGACTTTGATATTTCAATTCCAGACATTAAATTCCTTATTAGTTTAGAAGTTAAACGTAAAAAATATAACATTAAGGTCCACAATGTACTCCTTGCTGCGGATATTTCTCCATCAATCATGACATTGTAAATAGTTTGCCGATGTGTTTATAAGACTTGGTTTCTAAAACACTGCATCAGATACAGGTAGCAAGGAAACGAGACAGGCAACCAAGAAATGTGGAAGTATTTATTTGAGGGGAGGAATTTTGAGCCATAATTTTCCTTTACGTTTGAAAAATAAAAGATAAAGAAATTAAAAATAAAAGAAGGAAAACAAAATTATACATACGAATAAAATTATCAGCGTAATGTTCTTCACCGACACACTCAGTCCGCCCGAGGTCCTCAAATTGGTGATTTTTTTTAAATATAATAATAATTTTTATTAACAATAGTTACATACGTTAAGATGATCAATAGAAACAAAAATATTAGCTTTTTATAAAGATGTTTCGTCACCGTGATCAGATTACCTTCTGGTGTTAATATTTCAGATTATTTATTGGATTACTGTTAATTATTTTCAGGTAACTATTAGTTATAGTATGAGGGGGAGATTTGCATAGCTCTCCGTCATCACGCTGTCGTCTGGAATTTAGTGTCAGTGTATTAATAATGCTCAAAGTTCAACTCAGTCGACTGGAGTATTATATACAAAACTAATTTTTCTAAAGACAAAACAGCAACAACTAATAAAACTTCAAGGTTTTTTGTCTGCGATGAATTAAAGAAGAGAATAGCGTTAACACAATGTCTTATATTATGGGGAAAAGAGAACAAAATTTAGTACCTAAGAACGACCAGTCATCTCGTCTTTTCTCTGCCTCAGTGAGTGGAGACCAAATTTTGCGTCTTTCACTGAAACGTTATTGTTGAAGAGTCTCGTTCTCACATTACAACCAGTATCAGAAGTTGCCTCAACATTTACGGACGGTCCCTTAGTAAGTAATCCAAATATGACATAAACTTTGATGAAACGACTCGAGAAGAAACTGGGATATCCCTATCCTTAGGATCAAGTAGTTTGCGAGAGAGAGCCTTGGGCCAAGACCAGTGGGCTCAGGTCAAAATTCAAACTCCACATTCAATGCCAAGGATCATTAAGTTCGCCAGATATTTTTAGTTTCTAAGATTCAGAGTCAAAATCTAAGATGAAATGTGCATATAAATATACCTTCTCATACTTGCACAAGATCTTGTTTTTCACTCAAAATGAAGACTCGTTTGTGTAATATTTTAAGCAAATCTCCAGGAACAATCTCATGCAACCATGGTCAAAGGTCAATGCAAATTATACTTTATCACGCTGCCCCTTTTCATAGCTCTACTGCCAACATTGTCTGAGAAATTTGACAATAAGAAAATTTCCGCCACCCGTCCCAACAAGGCAGGACAATACGTGATAATCTTGTATTAATATTACGTGTTTAGGAACTTCAACCCCATCAGTGTGTGTATGAAGTAGGAGTGAAGAGAATAGAGAAAAGAAACAACAGCTAATAGAGAAAAATACTGAAGGCAATGAAGAGATTCCTTATAAATATTGGGAGTAGAAATGTAGTGATATTTTTTATTAAAAGTAACAGGGTCAAGGCGTTAAGAGGGATGAAGCAGATTAGGCTCAGTGCTTCACGTGTATAAGGCTCACGTTTTGCCTGGTATAAAGAAAATACTTGTTTATGAGGTAACATGGAAGGTAGGCGAAGTAAACTGCAAAAAAGATAAATAGAGAGAAGAAAAAATAGAAGAAATTAGAAAAAAAAACCCATGGCATTAGTGGTACTCACATACATAAAACAAGATTCAATGAGAAGATTATCTAAAATATCCGGGACTTTTAGGATTATTCAAGGTAGAGATCTTCTTATATTTGACGAGGTGAAGTAGAGAGAACTGTGTGAGCTGTGACGGGGACGAGCAACGTCTTTAGAGAACACGTGGAGTGCATCAGTTAAGAGAGCTGTCTTAATCTGATTCCAGCCGTATTGAACTATGGCCAAAAAGTCTTGCAAAAGAGAAAAAATAACATTAACAATATTCATAATATATTATAGAAATCGCCTAAAATTGTTTACACACTTATAATTATATAAAGGGCGAGAAATATTATAAGAATGTTAATGAAAAATTACATTGAAATGAAATGACAGGGGTGCATGAGTGTGTGTGTGTGTGGGGGGGGGAGGATGCTTTGGGTGCGGTGATAGAATATTTATCCCTCCTTCAGGTTGAGGATGAGAACCTTGTTGTTGTTGTGGCTGCTGGTGTATAGGTCCTGTGCTCTGGAGATATTGTTCGACTTCATCCATGTGTCAGGAATGGGGTTTCATAGTACCACCGAGACCAACGCGTCAGTCACCACCAAATCCCTTTGTGAGTTGGCCACTATATCTACGTCTCGCTCAAAGTGATGAAATTATATATTTGATTTTATGATTTTAATATATCAGATTCTTTACTGTATGATATTGATAAGTAAGTCAGACAGAAAGAGAATGAGAGATTATGTTTGATGGAATAAGAAAAAGTATATGACGTTACCTCTACAGGCAGCTGCAGACAGCAGTGCTTCTCGCAGTCATTCTGTAACGCCTGGACTGCCAGTAAGGTTAACGCTCATTACGAGTGTCACTTCAGTATTCACGGACCCCAGCCTCCAACTTCACCTTCTCCCCAACCTGGTGCGGTGTACAGCTACAAGATTAGTAAGTCTTTATTTACAAGTGTGGGAAACAATATGGCTACGAGCTATATGTGAAGTAACAAGTTAATATGTAGGCAGGTTATGTGTCTAAAGGATAGGTAAATATGTGGCTATAAATTAGGTAAATTTATGGCCATAAAATAAATATCAATAGTTAGAGTAACTAAAGAGGTGAATGTTATAGTTGTTATTGTTCTCAGGACGGATTGGTTGATGTTTGTGTGTGTCTAAATACCTTCTCGTCGGTCAGGTCACTTGATCTTAAAATAGTCTTATTGATAGATTAGACCTTCGGCTAATTCCTCTGTTTCAGAAGATTTTCTTTGTTTTTCAACATTTTGCAAAAATGGTAAAAATACAACAAATGATTTGGGAATCTGTCAAATGATTCCTAAATGTGATGTAGTTGGTGGCCGGATGACCCTTGACCTCAAATTATTTCTTTCATCCATGTACTATTTATTGGACACTTATATTACTGAAGAAAACAATGATTGAAAACGTTTGACGACCAAAACATGATCATATCAATTGATCTTGAAACATATTTTGAAAATACGTGTCGTAATAATTTGACACCACATGTAAATTCGTTGTTTTTCTAATTATAAAAAATGTTGTTTCATGGATGTTATTTCTTGTTTGTTTTCATATTTGTATGAACATGTATTTCATGCCTTTCAAATCTTCATGGGAACCCCTTGGAGGTGTAAAATACACAAAACGCCAAAGAACTTAGCGATTCTTTTTTCCTTTGTCGTTATCAATATATACTGTACAGTACATGGATCATACACACCTACAGTGTGTAGGGGTGCCACTTCTGAATGGTCGTGTTTAGGGAACACTTTTTCATAGAAAAATGAAGAGGAATTGTTTAAAAAAAATAGTATTATTGTTCCTGATGTCTGGGTAGATATTATTCCTCTACCATCCTCCTTGTTGTAAAATATTTAACGACGTTTTTATTCGTTAATATTTACATACAGTACATGTTCACACATCACTTATTGAAGACTCCTTCGAGTTCCTCTGGTGTGAGACAAAGATCCCAGGAGGCAACAAGCATCCTTTGGTTTACTTTGGTGAGGCGATGGAATAAGTAACTCCAGTCTCGGTTGGTTTTAATAAGCTCATAATTAACTCATTATAGGACTTCAGGATCTTGGTACCCTAACGGGACAACGAGATACCCTTGGCTCAGGTTCTTGCGCTTTGCTTCCTGGTTTTCCATTCACGTTGTCTCCCTCCCCACTCCAGCAAGATGGAAGTACAGTGTCCTCCCACAATAGATGTTGCCATCCTCACAGAGCGTCAGCGTGATTCTATCTGGACGCTGGTTGTGGGATCTGTAGTACCTATGGTTTCCTGTGTGTTGGGTAGCCAGCACTTGTCAGACTCCTAGTGATGGTGTCCTTAACTTCGTTATGTCTTGTTTGCTAACCACCAATAGCCCTGTAATTTACGAATCGTATTGCATATTTAGAAAGGAAATCTACAAGACAATGGCTCCCTGACTTAATTACTTCTTGACTGTCTGTATGACGTTACTTGAAAACTTATGACCTGACATTCGCCTCAGTCACCCGCCTGGACACATCACTTGACGCAGTATAAAACCTCCCCGAGTAATTGTTCTTGTCACACAACACCAGAGGACCTCAGGTTACGATCGAAATATACTGTGCTCTCTTAGTTTCCTGTTTCCTCTTCACCTACAGTGGGATTTCAGTGTTTTGAGTGTGTGTGTGTGTGTGTGTGTGTGTCTAAGTACGTAATCTGATGGATGATTCTTCATTCGTTCCTTTTGTTTACCATCGTTATTGGTGGCGACTTGTGTGTAGCTGATGGTTATCATCGATTTCATATTTCAGCTGGCCTGAGTGGGCTGATTGACGTGCATGAAGGGACGGATGGTGATATGTACTTTGTACCTGATAAAGAGTTAAATTTTAGTACAGCCATCAACTACTGCCAAAATATACCCGGGTTTCAACTTGCCCTTTTGAAGACAAGGGAGCAGATTGAGATTGCCAACACAATTTCATTACAAATACAAGGTAAGTAT